CCCGTACGAAAGTTTTATTTTTTTTTTATTATAATATTATATTTTATGTGCTTAATTACACAAAAGTAGCAAGTTTCATAAAGTAGTAGATATTTCTTCGAATGCATGAGGAATATAAAACACGGTATTTAAACTTACTAAACCAATAACAGGAGCATCCGCTGATTGTGAACTTACACCGCCAGACACTGGCTCCCTAGCCCCAGAAATGTCTGGGAAATATGTCCCTCATAGCACACTGTATAGTATATGCCCGTCCTCATTACCCCAGTCGGAGTAGAACAGTAGGACGTTAAACCCCATTTCATTTTAATTTAACTGAGATGATTTGATAAAAACAAAGAAAAAGAAAAAAACAAGATTATTAAAACAATGAAGACGAAGCTAATTTACAAATATAAATTGACAGACAAACTCAACTAAACTAAGAGTTTCTTGTCTGTTTAAATATGTAAACATGTTACGAAATAGTTTATTTGAATGGACACATTACTTACCAGTAAGAACATAAAACTAACAAGAAAATCTTTGAACATTTTCTGTGTTTTTAACATATCCAATTCTGTTAAATTTAAACACGTAATCCTATCACATCCAGTACAAAGCTTCTCTGATAAAACGTTGAAAAAAAATGTTTAATATGAAACGAATCGTTCTATTATTTTGGGTTGCGACAAAGTATGGTATTATTTAAATATATAAAAAGCATATACGTATATTTTATTATTAGATTGACAGTCAATACCCCCATATTGCATAAAATTTAAACAATTGCTAAATGGGAATTCTGTTGTTTGAATAAAACACGTTTACCAAATTGTAGCGTTGAAATGGCCAAGATCTTAAGACGTGCACACACCAAAGATTATATATCACTGACAATCCGACTTTGTGTCGCCGTTGATCGACAATTTTAGTCGAACGTACGACACGTTTTATAAAGGGATTCTAAAATCGTGTCGTGTGCTATAAGCATTTTAATGAATCAGGCAATAGAAGTCTGAGAATAATCGGTTGACGTGACGTGCTGATTAATTCAAATCAAAGACCCAACATGCCAGAACAGAGATTAAATATATATAGAGAGAAATGGGGTTCAACGTCCACTCGACACAAGCTAGGTCATTCGGAACTAACATATGGTTCAATTTTATTTCAATAATTCGCTTGCGCGTAGGGGTCTTTAGCAGTGGGAGTAAACCGGAGAACCCGGAGAAAACCCACGAGGTTGGACAGGCGACCCAACTCCTTGTCACGTACAACCGGGAAATCGAAACTACGCCAGTTGACTCAATGACATACCTTATGATATAGCGCGCACGTGCTAACCATTCGGCCATCCACCCCCACCCCCCTACGGCTGAAATAGGGGCAAAAGAGATCTATAAGGTGTATAACATTTTTGACAGTGTTATAAGCCTTTCTTTAAAGCAATGTGGTCAAAAACAACCGTCGTCTGCACCATCGGCGCTGCAAAATTGCTTTCAAACACTCTCATCTTTCGTTAGTCTTGGGTTGGGCAATGGGAGGGGGCTCATAAGTGGAATAGCCTTGAGTCTCTTTCTAGGGATTTTTTTAAAAAAGAAATGCCAAGGTTTGCTTATTTACATAATAAAAACAGCCTGTACATTATGTTACATGTGAAAAATCTAGTTTTTGTGCCTTATTGTTTTTATTTTGTCGGTCTTTGCAATTGAATGGCTGAGCTCCCCTTTAATGTCTATTTATTGTGACGACGTGTTTGTTGTGTCCTTAAATTCTGAAAGCCTTTCCCTTTAGTTAAGGTGATACAATAGCTTGTTTTTGTTATTTGTTAGCCAACATATTTATTTTAAATGACATAAAATATACTACCATAGATCTATAGCATAATTCAGTAAAAGTTTTAGTAGGCGAGGCAAAGAAAACTGTCAAACAATCTATAAAGCAAACAATGTCATGAAATATGGTTTAACGTTCTTCTGTTCTGCTCCGACTGGTCTAATGAAAACGGGTATAAGCCATACAGCGAGGAAGATTTGTCCGGGCAGCGGTGCCACGGTCTACACTTATAGAATTCCAACTGCCAAGGGACTTTTTACGTGCACGCCAATGTGCACATGGAACCTCTGCTGTTTGTCCCATCTGTTTGTCAGGCGCTCCGTCCTGCACCATTGACAACTGGAAACCAACACCGGGAGCGAACCCATGACCTCAAAGATAGCGAGCCAGCATCTTACACATTACCCACCGAGGCTAACAGAACACAGACACAAAACAATTTTGAAATAATTTCCGAATCTTTGAATTTAGTATGTACTTCTCGGACGGACAGGCCGTGCGGATATTTGAACAATGGACTGGTTTCGGCTATGCAGCACATGGGTAGCTAAGGTGGATAAAAAATAACTGCCCAAATTACTTTTATGATAAATAATGGACCGATCTAGGTGAAAAATGCCCGCGTCGGTTTTAATACCTAGTCCAATACTGCGTCTAGGATATGCACAGAAAACAACGGTAATTTCTTATGAATGAATTGGCTTTATAAGGGTGCCACGGTGGCTCAGTCAGTCTGGCGCTCGCTCACTAACCTGGAAGATCCGTAGTTCGATGTTACGGTACGTCGAGATCTTCTAGGAGTTTCCTCTTGTCCGTTGTACGTATCACGGTATAGCAAAGAACGGAATCTCGTAATTCGGATGGGACGAAAAAACGAAGTCCCGCAAGCACATAATAGAACGATTGGAATTGACAATTGTAATATCCCTTATCGGACACGTCTTCATTAGCGAGATTGGTGCAGAAATGTAGGACGTTAAATGCCATTTCATTGCATTTAATAAAGCTTATATTCCACGAGAAGGTGATCGGAATGTCGCACAAAACTGATTAATGCAACCTATAAGCGTCTTTAACGTGCACAGGAGATCTACAAAAGTTTGCGTACAGAGAGTGGATTTCTTTCGTCTGACAATCTTCTATATTTAAAACGTCATATTAAAATGATTGACAGGTTATTGACGTGCCCTTTAACACACGCCAAGATATCTTTATGCGATATTGGAACAAGTTCAAATTATGGTTTTTGTTATGTACCAGACAGGCCAAATTACTGACCTAATCAAAATAATGTTGCTTTGGAAAGTACAGAAAGTAATAAATCAACCCGAATCATTTCTTAATTTTAGTAATTTAAACCTTTTTAATGTGGTTCTTCCCTACTACTCAAGGTCTCATTAATTTTAATCAAACATTATTTTGTAGGATTCAGACCATAATGATATTCAACCATATCTTCTTCATTTACAGGCTACACCGAGACGAGACGGTTTTTCCACTCCAAAACTATACATTTTAACCGAAATGACATTTGATGAAAATCAATGAGTTGGAATATTCTAATGAACTACATTGGAAGCCCTGATAATTCATCAAAAAGTTGGCCTTAGCATTACTGAACAAGAATAAAATCTTATAGTGTGCAGTCACGTTTTACATATTGCAATTTGTAATCGATGTGGCAGAAACAACAGAAGTAGACACTTTCAAGATAAATATAATTGTATGACATTGTTTATTTATATGGCTACCAGAATAAATTATAAACATAGTTTTGCATATTGTGACATGTAAACCATGTGACAGAGAAATGAAATGAAATGAAATGGAGTTTAACTCCTACTGTTCTGCTCCTAACCTGGGCTAATGAAGACGGGCATACGCCGAACAGTGTGCTATGAGGGAAATTTTGCCCGGACAGCGGCACTACGGCCTACTCTTATATCGAATTCCAACTGCCAAGGGATCTTTTACGTGCACGCCAATGTGTACACAGGACCTCGGTTTTTCGTCCCATCCGAATGACTAGACAGCTTTCCTTGTCAGCCCCTCCGTCCTGCATCACTGACAAGGGAGAACCACGCCGGAAAATCTGGATGAACTTTCTCGGCCAATGCAAGGATCGAACACCCGACCTCCAGGCTAGGGAGCTAGCGTCTTACCCACTTAGCCATGTGATCCCCATGTGACAGAGAAAGAGGTAGCATAATAATAGTATTAAATTAATCAGTATAGCCATAGTTTAAAATGTAAGTAGAAAATTAATCTAAACTTTCTGGCTTTTTCTGACCTCCTGGTAATCAATTCCTTTTATGTACAGTTCGATTTACACTTGATATTCTCTGACTTTCTCATATAACTATAACCACCTTTCATCTTCAAAGGAATTATCATTGACATGAAAATAGCTTGTGTTACAGCTCTCTACCTCAGCCTGTAACAATATCAGATCTATATATTTTGCATCACTTCTAGATTCTTCAAGTCTTTGTTACAGATCAACCAGGGCAAAGATTTCTATGTAAAAATCACATTTGGAATATGCTTAGCTAAATCATCACATTGACATGTAAAGTCTGTAGACCTTGGTAATGTCCTTTAAACATGCATTATGCAAGAGCTAAATCTGCCTATTGCAGGTCTTTCTTTAGGCCTGAAATGTTTTCTAAAGTATTAATTAGACATTAATTAACTGATCCAGGCCTTAATCAACTCTCGATGGCATCAGATTTCTTCGATATTAAATAGATTAGAATGGTTCAGCGATACTTTGATTTAATCAAATATAGAGGACCGAGACTTTGCTTCGATCAACCAGTACGGTGGTTGAAATTATTGCACACGTCTGTCAAACCTTCAAAGGCTAATATCTTTGCTTGCAATAGAGTAATTTGAATGAAATTTTCAAATTATTCATTTTACATCATCTACTTTTGAACTATTATAGCAAGAATGGCTAGTTCTTTATCTAAATCTTACATAATGTATCTTTAAACATGCTTCCCTTACTTTTTTTTGTTGCAATAAATAATTCTAAACTCTTTGATAGATTAAAGGTCTTACGGAAGGTTATTTTCATACTATTAAGAGTAGTATATTATTTCCATGAGAAAACTAGAACCAATTTCAAACTGACAATAGTATAAACCATCTCCATAAATCAGAATAAATGTCATATATAATAATGAATTATGTTTATTATTTACACATGAATACAAATATTTGCTAAGAGATATAATTGTCGATTTTAGTGCTCTATCAAACAACAGGATCCTTAAAATAAAGTTTAGGTTTTCATACACAAGGCCAGTGACATTTTTTACAAGAATTATACAAAATGTTTCCAAAAATATAAAATTGGCACCATATTTTGTGTTCTTTATTTTAGGTTTAGCATTGTACTTGAGTTGACAGCAAAGGGGGACAACTCTTAAATTTTACCTCAAGGTATGAACCAATCATCCATATGTACATGTATGGTATATTTTTTCACATTACTGTAAAGAAACATTATAATTCTCGTATCAAACAAATGATAAGTTTGTACAGAAAACATATCACTTAAGTCGTTTCTTATCGCTCTTAGACCTTTGTCCACCTTGTCGCTTTTTCCTTTCAATAAATCGACGCAAATCTTTGTTTTCTTCTAAATTATCTGCTGTTACTGTTTGATCACTACGGCAACCACTAACAGGACATCTACAAAACAAGAGCAGATACATTTTGTTAGAATACATGGAATGTGTGCAAAATACAGGGGTATATTTATTTTTTCTGAAATATATGTTAAGACTTCTCATGACTTGTGGTGTACTTTTGTATTAACCCGATATAGCTAGTGACCGCTACAGATCCAACTTTCCTCTTCAAGAAATCTACCTGGTATTCCAAAATATTGCAAAACGATTTGGGGCTGCCATTCAATTTGGGCACATCAACCTAAAATGGCTGTTCATATTACGTTATATACAGATAACTTTCGTCTGTTTTCAGAATCTGAATTAACTATGTCAGTGATGAAACCTAGTATTTTCTCACGCAGTTCAGACAGCAATAATCAGTACACCCCTCAAAATAGCGAGAGAGAGAGAGAGAGAGAGAAAAATGGGCTTTAACGTCCACTCGACACAAACTAGGTCATTCCGGGACTAACATATGATTTAATTATATTTCAATAATTCGCTTGCGGGTAGGGGTCTTTAGCAGTGGGAGGAAACCAGAGGACCCGGAGAAAACCCATGAGGTTGGACAGGCCTCACAATAGCCCTTTATCTTTAATTATACGTTTATTAGTTATGTATGCACAAACTTGAGGCGAGCCACAGAACAAACTATAGAGATATGAATCCAGGACATTCTGTTATGCTCACTCCCAAAATATCTAGACCTACCTTGCTTTATGTTTCCGTTTTGAAATATATTCCATAATTCCTTCCTTTTCATAATTATGACCACAGATTATGTTTCGGACAGGGAAGGTCATTTCTTGTCCAGTATACGGACATTTGGTTACCACATTTTGTTGAGTCATCTCTACATCAAGATCTTCATCTTCAGTTGTTAAGGCTACCATGTCTGTGTTGTCTTCTTCTGGAATTTTACAATTAAATGAAATGAAGTTAAAATTACAGTCCTGCTTTTGTATACGACTTGGTTAATGAAGACAGACATACCTCATGCAGTCTGCTATAAGAGGAATTTTGCCCGGTCACTGGCGCTACGGCATACTCTTGTTTCAAATTCCAACTGTCACTGAACCTTGAAGTTTTTGTCCCATCCGAAAAACAATTAAATGAAATAAAAGACTAAATACTGTTTACCCGTTACTGATCACATCTTTGTTATTTTATCAATAGCCAATTGCTTTAAATTTACTTATGTGGATTACTATAGTTGTCATGGAGTGGGGTTTAATGTCTCAGTACCATAATACTTGAATCATTTTGAGACAAACATATGGTCAGTTTTACAAAATGGAGGGTAGTAGAATTTTGCCCCGACAGCAGTAATTACATCTTTATCTTCTTATAACAACTACCAATTGTTCTTTAGGTGCAATGTGCACACAGATGGACAGGGTAAATAAGCTAGTGCTTTATATATTTGATTTACAGACTTATTGCCACTGGCAATACAGATGTATATCGTAAATTGACGAAAAACTAGGTTGAATGGCAGCACATATGTACACCTTTGTATTTTTGTTCTTCGGATACACCAATAAAAAAAATTGTTTTCTAATTCTTTGGAAAAATTACCTAGTTAAAAACAAAAGTAGGCCTACTTGGAACCTTTTCCTGAAATTTTCCAATTTTTAAAATTTGAAATATTTGTTCTGAAGTAAATTGCTAGGCCTGAAGTATCATAACTCTCAGATTTCTGCTGGAAATTGTCGAGCATACATATGGTCAAGTATCTAGAACTTACCAGTATTTCTCACTTCCTGTATTTTATCTATCAAGTCCACATACTTCTCGTGATTTTGGAAGACACTGTCATCATTTTGAGTTTTCAATTCTTGTATGTGAGTGTCAAGTATTTCTTCAAGATCTTTTATTTCAGCACCTTTCTCAACCTGTGTAATAAAAAAGAAATTTAACAAAATATAATCTGCATTTAAGATGCTTGAAATAAAGATAAAGTTTGATCATATTATCATTCTTATAAAAGATTGCCAAATTAACAACATAATTAAAACACAGATAAAATGTAAAGACATTTAGATGGGACGAAAAACCAAGGCTCTTTGTACACACTGGCGTGCAAATAAAAGAGCCCTTGATAGTTGGAATTAAAATTCCATATGGTGTATGCCTGCCTCCATTAGCCAAGTCAGAGCGGCCCAGTCGGAGCAGAATTATAGTCAGGACCGTAAACTACATTTCCAACAGATCATATTTGGGTTTTTTTGTGTAGCGTTCAATTTATTTAGAGCTGGAAAGCTTTTAATACTCTGTTTAATGTCGAGGATTAGCCAACTGCCAGTTTAATATTACTTTATTCAGGGTGTGCATGGTTATCAGGGAGATTGATGTTATTACAATATCTCTGCTAATTTGTATTAATGATCTTAGTAACTTCTAAATATTCGTAATTATGGCTGGATAGACAGCCCAGATATTAGTTTATAAGATATAGATAAAGAGCTGGTCCTTCTTACTATAATAGTTGATAACAAGTGGTGTCATGCAAGATACACCCATATTTTGCAAGAGATGGAGAGAGAACAAGCTAAAATAATAATGTGATTTTTTATTCAATCCCGTGCCATAATCCAGGAAGATATCGTCCGATATGTGCTAATATTTAAAGGAACCAAGATCTTTAGGTTATAAACTTACATTTCAAGTTTCATTAAAATCGGATAAAAATTGTGACTTCAAGTTCTTGAGGGTCCACAACCTTAGTATTATACATTTTTAACCTATTTGTGTACAAGGAGCAGCCAGTTTTGGTCCGATTTTCACAAAATTCAAACTCAATCATCATTATTGTGTAGCGGTAAAATAATTGAACACTTTTTAAATCAGATAAAAATTTTGACCGCTAGGGGTACCACAAGCTAAAAACAAGATTTTTCGAAAGATCAGGAACCATAATCAAGAAAGTTGAGGTCCCATATGCGCGAATATCGAAAGGAACCAAGATTTTGGGGTTATAAACATACAAATTATAAGTTTCATATAAATCGGAAAAGAGAGAGAGAGAGATAGAGAGAGGGGTCCACTCGACACAAACCAGGTCATTTTGGGACTAACATATGGTTCAATTTTATTTCAATAATTCGCGTAGGGGTCTTTAGCAGTGGGAGGAAACCGAAGGACCTGGAGAAAACCCACAAGGCCGGACAGGCGACCCTACTCCTTGTCACATACAACCAGGGAATCGAAACCACGCCAGTTGACTCAATGACAGACCTTCTGATCCAATGCGCACGCATTAACCATTAAGCCACTCAACCTCCCGGGTAATATTGGGGTTGGGCTGTTGCGATATTATTACCTGCTGTTTAACATATTTAACTGATTCTATAAATTGTTTAAAATCTCTTTCCATCCGTATATAGTCTAACATTACATCCTTCAATGTTTCTTCACAATTAACATCTACAAGTATAAAGAGAAGTTTTTTAAGATTCTGAAGGAAATTTTGGAATTAAATTTTCATTTCAATGATTCAGTCTCCCAAATAAATCTCTAGATTTACCAGGCAGGTCATTGACAAAAACGGGAGAACCCCCTAAAGTACTCCATGTATTGTAGGCAATGTACCATACAAAAACAGGTTCTTTAATGGACATGTGTCAACACTGGATAGTCCTGGAGAATCTTTAGCGTTCCAGTGCCTTATACACTGAGCCACTGTGGCTCCGAGAAAAGATTAAATTTCATAATAAATAAAATTTGTTCCCATTAAAATTAAATGTGTAGGCCTACAAGAAATTATTTTTCGATTTTTTTTTCTACTCCTTGCGTCTTCTACACTGAGCCACTGTGGCTCCGAGAAATAATTAAACTTTATAATAAATCTGATTTGTTCCCATTAAAATTAAATGTACATGTACAACACAAGAAATACTGGCTTATTTATACATGTAACTTCCTTAACTGAACTAAGCCGCATTGAAATAAAGCTTAAAGGAGCTAAGTCGCTAATATTTGGGACCTAGAAATTGACACAAATGTAATATGAATGTATATAAATTGATTTTACATTCAATCGTTTCTGTAATTTCTAATTGTAGCTACAGCACTCTTTGCTACTTTTGTTTACCTTTTTCATAGTCACCAAAATCACTCGCAACGTCAATCGTCATTTCCATGCCAACTGAGATGTACGATTCCACCTGCTTCATCACATTCACAGCTTGATCAACAACGGCAAAATGGGACATGTCTGTTCGAGGCATTTTTCTAAGGTTGTGGTTAACTAGTTAGTTAAATTATTTCGTTAATTTCAGACAGTTTTCCAACTAAATTGACTTTACTTTTGGTTTTCCGCTGTTTGTCCACATCCGGTTGTAGCCACTCGGCAAACCTTGGTAATTCCGTTACTCTACATACTGGAATCTGCTGAGGTTTGCCGAGTGCGGTTGCAGTCTCTTTCATGTCCAGAAAGTTAAAAAATTTCGTTAATTTCAGACAGTTTTCTAACTAAATCGACTTTACCTTTTTTTTTATATATTTATATATTTCTATGTATACATCATCTTTCCGTAATCTTGAGTATTGAAATGAAATAAAATGGGGTTTAATGGCCTAGTAGGTCTGCTATTCTGCAGCGACTGGGCTAATGACCACCGGCATACGCCATACAGCTAGTGTAAGGCTACGAGGGAAATTTTACCTGGACAGCGGCGCTACGGCCTATTCTTATATCAATTTCCAACTGCCAAGGGGTCTTTTACATACACGCCAATGTGTACACGGGGCCTTGTTTTTTCGTCCCCTTCGAACGATTAGACAGCTGTCCAGACACTCTACAAGTCACAATTTTTATCCGATTTTGACGAAACTTGAAATATATAGGTCTATCTCCCAAACATCTCAGATCTTTTCGATATTGGCATGTATTGGACAATAACTTCATGGATTATGGCCCCTGATTTACGAAAAATCACGATTATAGATTGTGGACCCTCTATAGGCCACATTTCAGTGTATCACTGTTACACCCTAATGACGGTTGAGTTCGAATTTAGTAAAAATTGGACCGAAACTGCCTTAAAAAATGGCCGCTCCTTTTACGCAAATAGTGTAAAAGTATGTAATAGCAAGTCATAATTTTTATCCGATTTTGATGAAACTTAAAATATATTTTTATATCCCAAATATCTCCATCCTCGGTATCCCCAGTGGTTTCATTCCGTTTTACTCCACTACTCAAATTACATGTATTCGCCCTTGATGATTGTGCTATTTTTATCGACCAATTCCATCCATCGTTAATTGAAAAGGAAGTTGGCAAAGGGAAGTAACTCTCATCGGACAAGTTTAGGAGTTAGCCTAAATGAGAGAAGTTCAAATTATTCTAAATGCCTACTTACTAACAACAAATTGTATAATGTGAAATTAATGAAGACCGAACAAAAGTGCCATGTATAAGTTCAATAATAATAAACATAACAGAATGAAACATTTCAGATAAAGAACGAATAGTAATAATAATAACAAAAGTCAAACATATAGATGTTATACATATTTGAAATCAGCGAAACATACTACATATTTTGATAATACAATTAATTATAAATAAATTAGAAATATATATATTATTTACATAAATCATTCAGTGAAATCGAAAGCGAAACGACTGGTTTGGTTCTTGATTGGTTCGTAGACCTTATCTACAATCAAGGCCAGAGCAGATAATTTGAAATCGTGGAAACCCTATGGACTAACCCAGGGTATAGTGGAGTAGAACGGAATGAAAACACTGGGGATACCGAGGATGAAATATCTCAGACCCTTTCTATATTCGCGCATTTCAGACCATAACTTCTTATGGATTATGGCCCATGATTATACGATAAATCGCTTTTATTTCTAGCTTATTCTCTATATCCATCTCTTGCAAAATGTGGGTGTATCTTGCCTGGCAACCACTGGTTTGTAAATCTTTTGGCGTACTAATTGTCGCAGCTCTTTTTCGAAGGGGGTTGGGTGGCCGAATGGTTAACGCGTGCGTGTTGTATCATAAGGTTTGTCATTGCGTCAACTGGCGCGGTTTCGATTCCCCGGTGACACGCAATACGGTCGCCTGTTCAACCTCTTGGGTTTTCTCCGGCTGCACCCCCCCCCTCCCGCTGCTAAAGACCCCTACGCGCAAGCGAATTATTGAAATAAAATTGAACCATATGTTAGTCCCAAAATGGCTTAGTTTATTCGAGTTGGCGTTACCCCCCCCCCCCCCCTCTCTCTCTCTCTCTCGCTCTCTGATTATGTCTTCTATCGTTTATCATTATTTTGAAAACCCAGCAGAGGAGTGGGTATAAAAAACAAAATTGATTCAATCGTATATAGGTTAGGTCTAAATATTAAAGCCAACTGCAGATTTCGTCAAGGTCGCAAGATGCTAACAGGCCTAGGACACGTGATTGATGACGAGATTGTGGGTTAGGGTAACGGTTAGGGCTAGATCTAGGATTAGGCTTTGGGTTAGGTTTAGCGCTAGCCCCGTTTAAATCTCGTGACCTTTGATGAACGACATAATCTGGACGACGTTTTGATCAGGATTCTCTAGTTTGTATTTAAATAAATAGATATATTTGTATGGAATTCTTAAAAAAAGGAATCCGTTATATAGTCAGCGTGGGGCTTTAAATTGTTCCCAGTCATACAGCCCATTCTAAACGTCATACCATAGTCACACAACCAATTTCGCATAACAAAGACATATAACAAGAGTGTTGTGGCCCTTTGGAAAACTTGACACGCGGGACAATGGGCGACTTTCGTTTTTGATATACTTGTACTAGGTTGTATGGGTTTGTGTGTTATGACTATTGAAATATATGTATACACAGATTTACAATAAGCAAATACTGTTATTTATTTGTATATATTATACCTAATTGTATTATATATAACACTTCGATCATCTATTATTATATGGAGTTTAATGCTTAAAGGGAAAGGTCAGCGATGAGCGGGTTACTAAATACATGACGCCAAAAAGTTGTAAGAATTTGGAAAAATAATCTAGGGAATGTTGATATTGGAAAAAACAAACATATACTGCTATTCAATTTAGAGGTGTGAAAACAAAATCAGAATGAAATAGATTATGGCTTGCATCTTGAAAATGCAGTTTGTCTGATTATAAAAGTTATCACAAAAATCAACATACATTTAACCATATTGTACATTAATCTTAACGTATAAAAGTACCGTCACACGTTCTTACTATAATTGATCTTTTACTAATACGCCAAATGCCCATTATTAATATTCAGCCACATGTCCCTTTAATGCTTAGTGACGTCCATGAAGGTGAACCATACAAATTTGTTAAATGCGTACTTCGTCACGACAAAACGTTAAATTTGGAATATTCATAATATTGGATATACGTAAACTGTTTTAGGAAGATACGTTTATTATGTGATATCAAGGTTTCAAAATGTAAACCTTATAAAGGATAATCGATAGATTTATAATTACATAGGGGTTTTAGGATATTATAAAGCCAGAATAAGGATACTAAAATGACAATCCTTTATCGTTTAGGTGTATTTCTGATTTTATGGAATGGGGTTACCCATGCGGTAAGTTAAATGAAGGGATACTACAGATTTATAGTTTTATCACCAAAGAAACATAACTGATAGTTGGATATGGTCTTGTATTAGGGATGAATCATGATGAACGAGAACGTATTTTGAACAGAGTGAAGTACATAACTGATATGGACTAGGCTTAAAGTAGCAATGCGCCATTTGGATTTTTCGCTAAAAAATTAAATTTCTGACATCTTAATCCACGCTAATAATACATACTCAGATTGATTATTTAACATCTAATTTCTCCAAAATAATCAAAATACCAACGTTAGATAATGTCCCGGCTTAGAATCGGATTTAAGAAAAAGACTTACCTATAAATTTTCGAGGACAACAAAATGGTGGCAGGCTTATTACATAGCGAAGCAGCATAGATCGATGAAATTTCAGTTCACATACTGAACGCAAATGGACCAGTTGTTGATGTAAATGGATAGAAATCAAATACATCTCAAGGCATTCAGACATGTAAAACACAAATAATTAAAACTAATCTGCAGTAGCGCTGCCTTTCCTGCACCAAATTGAACATTATTTTGTAATGAGATGTTATCCGTGGTTAGGATTGTTCTCATGTAGTTACGAACCCTTAATTGTCTTGAATTTAAGTGTTTTTTGATAAAATGGTGTCACACGCTAAATTTGTACAAAAGATATACACACACAGATATTCTCTTGAAAGCACCACCCCCAGTCAGCTTTCAATAATTTCTCGCGTTCGAGGGGAGAGAACCGCCCGGACCGATCACTGAGTCAGGCTTAGGGGCCCGTGTCCCCTAGTCAATATACCTCTTAAAAACTTTAGCTGTAAATTCTAATATATATTTTGGTGGTATGTGAATTGTTTTTACAGGGTGTAATAACAGCGGGCAGTTCTTTTCAATGGGGATTTAAAGAGAGTGTACGTGTACCGGAAGAATTATGTTTCCAGTCGTGTTCAGGCCGTGTTAAACTAATATCTGTTGTACCTTCCTATTGTTCAGCTTGTTTTGACGTCTGGGAAAAGGGTAAATATTATGATGAGCTTATTTGGGTTCAGCAATAACGGTATTAATAATCCCTTTAGTTCTAGAAACTAGGAATTAGCTCCGAGGACCGATGATGATCGCAGTGGTGATGGAGAGGCTGTGGAGGGCATTATGGCATTTTAAACTTCGCTTTGAAATTTATATCTTCTCTGTACCATTATCATTTGTTTTTGTTTTGTTGTTGACATGCAGGTTTCCTGCATTATTTCTAGCTAGTTAACAGTAATTTATCCACCCCTGAACACCTTGAAGTGCATATAAAAGAACCATTTGACAGTTGGGAATCGAAGAATAGGTGAAAACGCCTCTATCCAAGCAAAATTCTCTGAAAATAAAAGATAGTCTCAAAATTACCAAAGTACTGCACTGGCGAGAGTTTAAGCCCGATTATATTGTCTATGGGTTTTTTTTTTGTATTTTATAAGGTGCTGATCAGTGTTTGTATTATGTTCCCCGTACAACTAAACTAGACTATAGTAAAGCGGCGAGTTATACTATACAGATACAATGTGAAGATGGCGCCGTCAACCCCGAAGCAACAGTACATCTCAGTGTTATACCAAATTTCCCTCCACGATTTACAGCCGCAACAAGTAAGTTGATGTTAATTCTTAGAAGGCTTCGAGACCATATCAGGTGGTAAAGTCCATTCAAATTTGTCTATAAACTGTCCTATTCAGTTCCATCTAGTGGATTTCAAAAAATATCTACACACACAACCACAGAATACCCTCAATAAGTTTTGTTTCTTAAACATGCGCAGATTATTCCTTTCAGTCACTTCAAAATATATCCCATTATAATTGTGTATCCCAGTAGAGCCTTAACAAGGTTTTGTAAATCAAGGGGGGGGGGGGGGGTAACTCTGGGTGTTATTATCCGAAATTGTTTAAAATCAATAGGGCAACCGTATAAATTTCAAAAAGATTGGATAACAGCAGATTTGTCTCATTTAATTTGAAAATCTTGAAAATCCCAGATTTTATAAAATCTTTACTAACCATAGGATCCCCAAATGTATTACGATAATTTTATGTTTTTTCTAGATACGATCACATTGGACATTAATCCGGACCTAAAAGCTAATGATGTTGTTTACTTAATACCTCATACGGATAGTGAAACTGATGTTCTTAGTTTCGAAGTAACAGAACAACCAAATAATGGCTTCTTCAGGGTGGACAGTAAGTGTATTATTGTTTTAAAACCCAAAGCGAAGGGTGTGTGACCTCCCGCCTAGAATCTGGAATAAATTTAAGAGTCCTTATCATCTAAAAAGAAGCGGAACAGACAAACAACGAAATATTTAACAAAACAAGCAAAAGGAAGATTTATCTTAAATTATATTTTCTCTAACGACTCAAAGTACTCCCCCCTCCTTTTGAACAAAACGAGAAAAAGAATATAGGCAACTGCTGCTTAAAATGAGAGTGGTATTTTTAAAATAAAATTTCATATTGCAGGTAACGGTAACCTCAAGGCCATGAAAAACCTGAACACCTTTTGTTCAGCTGAAACTTTGCAGGTCTCTATGACTGATCATCATAATCCGAAGGTTTACCTTACAATTAAATTAAACACAGGTAATTACAGCTATAGGTGTTTTTGATGAAGTATAGAGGCAGATTCTGTGGTCGACGGTTTGTAATACTTAACTGTATCTTATTGGACAATTTCAACCCATCTGCTCAGTGGAGCCATAATGGTTCAGTGTGTCGTCGTTGGCTTTCGACCGTGCGTCGGCCGGGAAAGTTAGTCGGAATTTTCCGGCGCAGTTCCCTCTTCTCTATGTGGTGTAGGACGGCGGGCCGATGGGTTCTAGCACACTGTATGCCATTCTCCAGTAGCCCAGTCGGCGAAGAAAATAAAAGGTTAAGTCGCATTTCATTTCATTGCATCTCATTTCCATCTGCTCAGATACCCATGCAGCTCACAAAGCTTATCAGATTTATAGAAAACTTTGTTTTAACGACCACTCGACGCAAACTAGGTCATTTCGGGATTAACATGATATTGCCCAATTTTATTTCAATAAATGGAGTAAATGGAGATAGCTATAAGTTCGGGAATTGTAAAGCAATCTAGCAACGTCCAGATGTTGTAAAACTCGCATTCGTTGCCTCAGGAACATGATGCCCGTCCGCCCCCCCCCCCTCCAAAAAAAAAACAAAACAAAAAAACAAAAACAGGCGCTTTTAATTTTTAGCCGAATTCATAAAAGTCTAATCATTTTAGACTTTCTTATTTATTTGTCTTTGTCTTCCAGGTACCAACAGTCGACTTATTTTAAAAGACTGGAATAAGAGTATCACTTACCAAGAAAACAAGAAACTCGACCTGTATATAGCCGACAGGTTGCCAGCGCCAGGCAACTGTTCCGTTCGGTCAGAACCCACCAGTATAGCCCATGATCTTACTCTATACTGCCCAGCCGGAATAGATAGATGTAAGTTATGTATAGACCTAATAGTTGATTTTCCAATTGCCATAAATAAAAATTAGTATATATTAAAGGGACAATAACACTCTTGCTGGCTTGAAAGCTCCAGAAAATAAATAATATCTCTATCTAAGTACTAGATGTTTAAGTGTCCTACCTGTTGTGTAAATTATCCATTACATCCTATTTTATTTGTCCAGAGGGTTCGAAAATATTTTTAAATTGAAGTTTCATTTGAAAAGGTTTACGTTAGACGTTTCAAACCATTATGTTGAATTTTTCAAAATTTTTAAATAAGGTGTGTTAAGATGAAATTTGTATCATCAATTAATGGAATATTGTAAAATAGTACAATTTGTTGACCAGAATAAAGATTGGGACATATTATTCAGTTACAACAAGAGTGGTATTGAGCCTTTAAAGTAGATAAAGTACAAGTACTTTTATGTTTACGGAAGATAAATACATATATAAATACAAACTACGTCCAGGTAAAACAAATAACCATTCTGACATACATTAAATCATATAAGCTAACTGTCTGTCCTCTTTGGGCGTCTCCAGATATTAATAATGTATACAAAAGTTAAATGTTACCATAGAGATACATTCGTAGAATAATAGATGTCCATGGAAATGGATTATAAACAATATTAGGTAACGTACAACAAAAGGTTATAGAGTATATAATATATACATGACATTAATTTACATAGTCTTCTTGGTATAGTCTGACTATATAGAATATAGAATGTTATGTAATCTGGCTATAACACTTAACCGTTAATTTACATACTCTTCATGGTATAATCTGACAATACAATTCTTGATGACCCAATATTTTGAATTGAAGTCCCAACGGGCCATATAATTTATATTAGTAAAATAAATTCGACGATCCTGACATTCACGACTTTCGTATCATAGAATATATGTGTGCTAATTTATCATATCGTCTAGGTTTACTGACGCCCTAGTAAATTATATAACATCTTTCATTTGTGCAGTCATTATGTTCGATTTCGTGATTGTAAGTGGCGGTATCCTTGCAAAACTGGTGATTTTCACCGGGTTCGCCGGGTACCTGCATGAGCCCTGATCGTATATTTCTTCCGAAATAAAAGGCAAATATAGACTTTAGAAACAATCGTAATCTTCTGTTGATGTTTGAACGATAACCCATTTCTTATGTCCACGAACATCGACGACAATGTTGTATCTAGCCCACGTGTTTTGTTTTATTTAGATACTTACTATTTAAATAACACTTTTCTGTTCAATTCAAATACGATGCAATGCGTATTTAGTTCTCACATTACACAGTTGTGTTACGTGGGCGTTAAATTTCATTTCCGTCTCACCCTTTGACCTACGGTGCCATTTGTTGTTCCTGCATCTAATTTGTTATTCTGTTTGAATTCCAGCATCTCATATATTAACCAACAGCCTGACCTTTGACTTTGAGAAAGATCCACCAATGAATATAACGCTTACTTACGACAACGGCAACTGTCCATCCAATACACGGTGGCTGTACATATATTGGAGCGACGTACCCGAAAAACCGTTGCTGACACTAACCACCCCTGAATACAATGTCAATGAAGGTTTTGTAAGTTTCGCTTGAAACATCCCAAGATATCAACACGCTTAATTATGGTTCAATGTTTACCAACCTGGTTCGGCGTTTGTAATCATATTTTACCAGTGCCAACCTTCGAACATTTAGAAAGGAAAGCTCGAGTATTTCTTCAAATCTTTAAAATGAGTAATCATTTATAATACCTCTTACAGTACTGAGTAATCAGATACCGCACATCACAGACAATCGTACCCGATGTTACAGAGTGTTGTTGTAAATTGGATTATTAACGTCCATTTCCACTTAGTTGACAATATCCTTTTTTGATACTCTTCAGGTTTCTTTATGCCTGGGATCTATTGTATTGAAGGGATGTTCTTGCTGGTCTTCTCTGTGGTGATTGCTGGATATTCATTAATGGAAGAGGCTCCCGATGTTGACATACCCTTCCTTCTGTTTTTTTTGTGTTGACATTGAGACGGCTGGGGTTTGTTCTACACCGTTTGATGGGCTAATAAGGAAACTTTTGCCCGGACAGCGGCACTCGCCCTACTCTCATATCGAATTCCAACTGTCAAGAAATCTTTTACGCACCCGCCAGTGTGTTCATGGCACCTCGGTTTTTTTCGTCCCATCCGAACGACTATGCATTTCCCCTCGCCACACCCTCCAACATGCAACACCGACAACGGGGACCACGCCGGAAAAGCCGATGAACTTTCTCAGTCAATACAGGGGTCGAACACGTCTTACCAACTGAGCCACCGTGCATACACCTAAAGCATGAGAACGTTGGCCCTGAACTATTTGTATGACCCTTGCATCTTTACAATCTCTATCTCTATTTTTGAATTAAATGAAACGTTTCTATTGTAGATTGAAGTTCAACCAGATTATTCTATAACTGATGAAGATTTAAATGAGAAACACACCTATTCTTTCTATGGAAATGCCAACGGGGCCTTCAGCATTGCTGCTTTAACAGGAAAGATAACAACCCTAGGCTACCTGCGAGCCACAGCCAAATCTACTCTTTATACATTCCAAGTCCAAGTCACTGATAAATCCGGGTTGAACTCTGACCCCGTTCGTGTTTTTATTAGCGTATCGTAAGTTATAAAGAAAACGAATATTTATATATTTTTAGTGTTGGGAAATCAGAAAATATTGCTCAGCTCAAAGAAGCTTTGTACAGTATTTAGTTACTATGAAAACGACGTTGTGATCGTGCGAGTTTACATAACAGAATATTATTCCGCTTTATTTTGAGGTTGTTTCCTCAACTTCATCTTGGTCTAAGGATACACAGGTTGTGATTGGTCGACTTCAGATCCACCTACCAACCAAAACCTGTGAATCAGAAAATTCCGCTTAATCTTTTGATTATCTAGCCATTTAATTGGCTGTCTAGTCAACGACAAAGCTACTATTGTGCTGTCGTTACAATTCCAGAACAAGCTTTTCCTAAACATGTCTTTAAATGTCACTGGTATGACCTCATTAACGGAGTGAAAATAACATTTAGTTGTGAGTGGACATTTAACCTAATTAGGATGTTCATTAGCAGGAAACGTAATATCATTATAACTTAATGATGCATATTGCATATACATGTACTGTACGAGCTAAATGTGCCTATTGCATGTCTTTTTTGACTTCACATACTATTTAAATTATTGTTTAAACGTTTATTAACACACTGATCCGCAGTGAATATTTGCTTGGCCGCGACAATCACTGGTAAGGATGACATCGATGCGGCTTAATGAGCTAGAAATATTAACTTTTTTCCTGCGACAAATTAAATTCTAAAACATTTTTTGTATATTGGAAAAATAAATAAAGGCGTTTGACGTATTTGTAGTTAAAAATTATTTCCGATTTAGTGTAAATGGGTATTAAAGGACCTAAGTCCGTAACTCAAAATCCTCCAAAATCTTCGACATCGAAAACACGAATTATTGGTCAATTTAAATCAACATTAATGATGTAAACTTACCGGGAAAAGATGAGCTTCTGATATCCGATATTTAAGATAAAATAATTTTTTTAACATTGGTACACGAATCGTGTACCATACTGCGCTTCAGCCCCAGTTGTATTGAGAGACTCGAGGGACGAGGCTAGACACACTGCACCAAATCAAATGTAGTTATGTAGACTAGAATAACTAGACGCTAGAAATTTGCACTCGATTGAGATTGCTGACTTATTTCGCCGAACATAACTGATTTGAAATTGGAGTAAAAACGGAAACCATTAAATGTAAATCCGTTTATATACATTCATATTACAGTATTATATGCGTTGCGACCCACTTTTGTGAATTTCTAGGTCCCAAATGTTAGCGATTTAGCTCCTTTAAAATGACTAAAATGCAGCATTCTCTCCGAAGCAGTTATGTCTTATGTAAACAATGCACGCGCCATTCAGCCAATGATTCACACCGCGTGCTGTGACAGCACGTGTTAAGGCAGTCATCTATGGCAGAGGTTTTAATTCTCTGTGACACAGATTGGTTTATTAACATTACAAGCCCATAATCAACTCCCAGGATCATGGGATGACTCCGAGTTTAAGTGTTTAATGGTAAAATAGATACTGCAATAGTAACGCTACGTTTGTCAAAACTTGAAACATTCACTCATAACTTCGCACATAAAAAAATACCAAAATGTTCAATATATTCATTTTTCATTATGTTTTTTAAAAAATAACAAGAAAGGTCAATTATGTATCTAAATAAATCTTACATAACGCATCTTTGAAATGTATAGCAATATATTGCATTATCGCGTATCGATTTCGCTGGATTGTATACCTTGATTTGTATTGCGAGATGACAATCTGCTTGTTTCAAAATTGCGCGCATTTAAATTAGACCATGGATTGTATTATAAGGTCTATGATTCGACAGTGGGAAGAAAAAATCGACTGTGCGTTCCTGTGTTTTCACAGTTAGCCATGCATGACACCAACGTTAGTAAACAAACCGACTTCCGCTTAATCGTTTGAAACAAAATGTTAATCGTATAGAGCCCTTTCACCAACTGATCAACCCAATTAGATACTTTATGTTGACTTAAATCAAACAGATTAAGTTCCTTTAATTTTAGACATATATATTTGCTTTTCAATTTAGAGACATTAATGATCATAAACCAGTCTTAGCAATCTTTGAGACACTTCTCCAGGCCACAGAATGTCAAGGTCCAGCCAAGTTTCTAACATTAACAGCAACTGATGAGGATTTTGACCAAAACAAGAAAATCGAGTTTATTCGTGTGGAATCAGGCAGTATGCTTATCAACAGAAATGGAGAGGTTTTCTTGACTAAACCTGTCATTGCTGGTACGTAAATATTATCTAATTTAATGACCTCTGCGTATGCATGAGTGAAGAGTTGCACGGGTAAATGTGTTGTGCACCTAACTTACATTCTCAGAAACTTAAATGAAATGAAATGAAATGGGGTTTAACTCCCAGTTTCTGCACAAAGACGGTCATACGCCATGCAGCGTGCTTATGAGGGATATTTTGCCAGGACAGCAGCGCTACGGGCTACACTTATAACGAATTAGAACTGTCAGGGGTTCTTTCACATGTACGCCAATGTGTTCACCGGACCTCGGTCAAAATACACGATGTGATCTTTTCTACTCCCTACTGTTTAAACAGCATTTAGTAATTGAACACATTCAATCAAACACAAGAGTTCCATGGAAAACTTTTCTACCCCTTTTCTATATTTGTTAGACCCCGTAATGATCGAAATCCAGGGTATCAAAAGTATTTTGTTTCAAAATTCCAGGGCAGTTTCAAGAACTAACTGTTACAGCCAGAGATAAAGGTGAACCTCCTCTAGAAAGTGACAAGGTAACGATTACTCTGCGTGGAATGCCTTGTCCTACCACCTCTACGCCGCCACCACCCCCGACGACGCAGCCACCCCCGCCAACAACAACGCCAACAACAACGCCATTACCAACCACGACAGAAAGCAGAGCAGCTCTGAATTTGCCGTGGTGCAGTTTACAAACTCTCTTTATCAGCACCATTTTAATAAAATTTGCGATGTATTAAATATTATTATAATAGATTTTAACAGGACAGAGGAGCAACATGACAGATTTTCACATACAATTTAACAAATATTTTAACACGTCTTTGGCTTGATTATGACTAGAGAATTGAGGCTGTTATAAAAGATACAAATGTGGATGTGTCTTTAAAGCCCTCTGCGAATTATTTTACAAAGGGTTTAAGGTGGTTGTCAAGGTCTGTTTTAAACATTAATTTTGATGACAATTTGCCAAATGTACGCACTAATTTGTCGGTCTGATTGAAACCATAACAATTGTTTTAGTTCTTTCTACTGTTTTCGTGGGCATTTCTATTAACTTTATCAAGTGACGTTTATAACTCGACGTCCATAATATTGCCTTACGCACACTGCACGAAACATTTTGCCTTATTTTACATCAAACTAAATTCTCAGACCTTCACTGACTTGCCAAAATACATCTTCCAATAATTTCAAAAAGACGAGATTACCATATAGTGCCAAATATATATATATTTTCCTTTTGTGTTTGTAAGAGTAACAGAATTGTATTAAATATTTATTGTCTTATCATGTTGATTACTATAAGCTATAGGGTTTTTATTGTAGTTCGCAAACAATACGAGAACCGAGTTTGGATACAGGAATTGTGCAAATGCAGTGGACATTCTTCGACAAATTCCCTTATGGAATGCCCGAATGTAAATCCATGAATAGCACATGGGAAAGATTTCTATCAGTTGAAGGTGGGTTTTTGGAACCTATATTCAAATGGTTTGCCCTTGGGTCATTCGCCAATGGTTTGCCTATGGGTCGTTTCACGTGAAGTTCTTGGCACCCATGTTGCATTGTCTCAAGGTTTGCTTTTGAGTAATTTCCCACTGGTTCGTTGACATGCGACGTCTCATGGGCTAATGTCCCATGTATTTCTATCAACTAGATTAAAAACTATGAAACGTTATACGAATATCTGCTCCAGTGGGATCTCTATAATCTTAAAAAAATGTATAATTTCAGAAACCAATATTATCCAGAAAGAATTTGCATGAATAAATACACCATCTGCTTATTGACTGTCTGATTATTCCACAGTCCGCATGAATTATTGCTAAAGGGTCTACGAAAACCCCACAGGAACACCCGAATGTCCCTATAATTACCCCTATGAAAACCCATGGGTCTCTATAGTTCTACAATCGACAAGAAATAAAACTGAACCACGTGTTTGTCCCGAAATGATCTGGTTTTGGTCAGGATCCTTCTTTTTTCGTCTTGTAAAGGTATTTATTCACATCGGAAAATATATAGTACAGTCAATGTCAGTGTTGGAAAACATGTAAATTATTTTCATAAAAAGTAATATTCAAATGGACGATTTAACAACATTTTTATAATCAGCGATATCTTGGTCAACGTTAAAAGGTCACCATGTTTAGCTCGAGGGCAAATACCTGTAGTTAATCGGTGGACTTGTGTGAGTAAGTAAGCCATTAAGGCATATTTCATAAAGGTACATCAGATCTTCTCAAGTTCAGTGATTACTCTATTTCGGGATAAAAACAGACTAATTGAGAAATAGTTTTGAGTGTTAGTTTGTTTCTCCAACCGGGAGAGAAATTTATTTGAAAAAACTAACTGGTGCTTTCGAGAGTATAACTTGGTGTTTATAGCTTATGCATATATTTAACGCGCGGCAATCTTAACAATTCATCAAAAGCCACGTAAATTCATGACTAAAAGGGGACCCTAAACTACGCAAGAACATTAACTAGTTTATGGACCCCTTAAACCACTATACTCGTTCAGTCCACCCCCCCCCCCCAGGAAGTTGTGGGGGCACGTTGACTTAGTGAGTATGACGCTAGCTCGCTAGCCTTGTGGTCGCGGGTTCGATCTCGGTGTTAGCCAAATATGTTCATCGGGATGTTACGGCGTGGTTTCCCCTTGTCAGTGGTGCAGGACGGAGGGTCTGACAAGGACAGCTTTCTAGTCGTTCGGATGGGAGGAAAACCCGAGGTCCTGTGTACACATTGGCGTACACGTAAAAGAGCCCGCCTTCATTAGCCTATGCAGTCGGGGCAGAACAGTAGTACGTTAAACCCCCATTCATTTCATTTCATTTCCATCCCAGGTATTGATAACACGGATCGAGTAACCATTTCTGAACTATTTAATATTAGGGTGCACTTTCTTACTAGATATATCTAAACAACTTTTAATCCCGGTGAAGATGGTACAAACTTATACCAAATGAAGAAACTTGCACTAAAAAAGGCAAACTAAACAGATGTTTGGATTTCTTAAATTTATTTTTGAACCCAAAATAAAATTCAATAACCCTGAAAACCAGATTAAATATATTTTAAAAACAATATCCACATGGAAAATGGGAAATAAAATCGCCATTATTGATTCTATTTTGATTGTCGTCTTCAATTTATAGCATCTGGTGTATTATTATATATACTCTACTGGTTATTTAAGTTCTCTAAATGATGTTCTGTTTAATATAGAAATTCGTTACCTAGCTACCTGATGTGTGACGAAAACTAGGCGAAGGAAGTACTTTGCGTGATTCTACTACTTTCTTAGACTAACTCACTGACAGTTATGCCAGTATCCATTTCTGGAAGTGGATTACTATCGTCCAGGTATCTGATGCACAGATGTGGTACCATGGGTCGTCTGTCAGACGTGGAGAGCGGACACCGGTAAACCGGATGCCACATCCGGCGTGTAACCCATGCATAGTTTCTTACTACAGTAGAATCTGTATTAAGCAGCCACCCAAGAGAATTTTCACGACTGACCGCTTAACGGGAGTGGGCACTTAATAAAATCTCAGTGTTTTATTGTGCTGACATCAATTAAATATTACGTTTGGATGCATGAAGCGAACATCAATACTTGCATCGGTAAATTTGGCCGTCGCTAAAACTGGCTTGGAACGAAAATTCTTTGACTCAAAACGCTGACATAACTTCTGTAAACGTGTAATTTTGTATCAACAACGACACTACAGTCTACATTGTGATCCATTTTTGTGAAGAAAATCCATGAATTAATTTTATTTGATCAAACAAGCACATGAACTAAAAAACATCGCTGAATTTGTCACCTATTATGAGGAGTTTAACTCTGCATGTTATATTATAGGAGGCGCTAAATCGGCTGTTTAGCAGCAAAGTGGCAAGGGAAAAGAGATACTAGATGATCGTGACAAAATTCGTCGGTACTTTTAGTTTATTCAATCAGTATCTAATAATGTTTCGTTACGCGTGAAAACAACGAGCGGGTTGGTCGTTTAATAACAAAAGATTAATTAACAGATAATCCCGGGTTTATTGTTATTTTCACATTCCTTTTTACCTGATCAGCGGGGGTCCAGCAAATTAACTATTAATCACGGGATAAGCGGGGGTGTTATGAAGAAGACAAGATGGTATCATTCAACAATGGCCGTTGAATGGGCGATGTTTTGTTAAATTTATTAGTAAAACAGTGACCGCTGGCCGCGTTAGAGGAGTGACCGTTGATTAAAGAGATGTACATATTTTGGAACAGCCCATGATCGTCTAGTATTGTCTCTGGCCGCATTTGTTTTTTTATTTTTATACGTCCGTCCGTCCACAATTGTTTGTGAACACTCTAGAGGTCACAATTTTTATCCGATTTCAACGAAACTTGAAATATAGGTTTATCACCCTAAGATCTCGGTTCTTTTCGATATTGGCATGCATCGGACTGTAACTTCATGGATTATGGCCCTTGATTGTACGAAAAATCACGTTTTTAGCTTGTGAACACTGCAGAGGTCACAATTTTTATCCGATTTGTTTTAAACTTTCAATATATGTTTATAACCCACAGATCTCGGTTCCTTTCGGTATTCGCGCATATCGGACCATAACTTCCTGAATTACGCAAAATCGCATTTTTAGCTTGTGAACACAATAGAGGTCATAATTTGTATCCGATTTAAAAAAAAAACCGTTTAGTATATCACCATTACACCCTAAGGATGGCTAAATTCGAATTTCGTGAAAATCGGACCAAAATTGACTGACAAAATGGCCGCTCATCGTTCTCAAATAGCGTAAAAATATGGTATATCAAGGTTGTGAACCCTATAGAGGTCACAATTTTTATCCGATTTTGTTGACACTTGAAATGTAAGTTTATAACCCAAAGATCTCAGTTCCTTTCGATATTTGCGCATATCGGACCATAACTTCCTGAATCGCGTTTTTAGCTTGTGGACCCTATAGAGGTCATAATTTTTATCCGATTTAAAAAAAAAAACGTTTTAATATATCACCGTTATACCCTAAGAATGGTTGAGTTCGATTTTCGTGAAACTCGGCCCAAAACTGACAGACAAAATGGCCGCACCTCGTTCTCAAATAGCGTAAAAATATGGTATATCAAGGTTGTGGACCCTCTCGAGGTCACAAGTTTCTTCTGATTTTGATGAAACTTGAAATGTAAGTTTATTACCCAAAGATCTTGGTTCCTTTCGATATTCGCGCATATCGGACCAGAACTTCATGAATTATGGCCCCTAATTATACGAAAAATCGCGTTTTTAGCTTGTGGACCCTATAGAGGTCATAATTTTTATCCGATTTAAAAAAAAAACGTATTATCATATAACCGTTACACCCTAAGGACGGCTGAGTTTGAATTTCGTGAAAATCGGCCCAAAACTGACAGACAAAATGGCCGCACCTCGTTCTCAAATAGCGTAAAAATATGGTATATCAAGGTTGTGGACCCCCTAGAGGTCACAATTTTCTTCTGATGTTGATGAAACTTGAAATGTAAGTTTATAACCCAACGATCTCGGTTCCTTTCGATATTCGTGCATATCGAATCGTAACTTCCTGATTTATGGCCCCTGATTGTACGAAAAATCGCGTGTTTAGCTTGTGGACCCTATAGCGGTCATAATTCTTATCCGATTTAAAACAACGTTTGAATATATCACCATTACATGGTTGAGTTAGAATTTCGTAAAAATGTAGTACTATCCGACTACACATCTTAGTTTTTGGCCTGATCGTCTAATGGGGGGGGGGGGGTCGGCTGGCTCTGGACTGCTACTGTTGTGTCTCTCTTCTTATAGGACTTCACCATTGTGTTTTCTCACGATACCGACTCAAATAAGTAACAGGAACAAGGATAGTGTTTTTGCTAAACATTTTATGTCACAACAGTTACACAGTTTTCTACATTACAATATTTAAAATTAACATCTCTTTCTCTCCAACCCCAGTCCTGTAAAATTCTAGCCAGCATGGCTAGACCCAGGAAAACACTACCGCATGAAATAGTCGTCTAAAGAATCCACATGATCTCTCCCAATTATTCTAGCCCCGCTCCCTTATATAGGTGCCTATTCTTTTGTCTGTGTTTATTCTTTTGTCTGTGTTATTTACGTAAACAACTGATAACAGCTAAATTCCAAATATGGAATTGACATCCACCCCAAACCTGTATATCGACAGGGATTGTTACCTTATTTGGTCAACAAATATGATATATGTTTTATAACAAAGAAACATGTAAAT